TGGTGTCTGTAACTTCAACTGATTCATTAAAATAGGGTTTGAACAAGCACAGAAATTTACTAAATAAGGATTAACATAGGCTCCAAGCATTCTGTCTTCAACCAATAAATTTGAAATCTAAAATTAGGTGGCCACCGAGGGACTGTATGATTTCGGTACTTGCCTACAATACTGATTTCCATCACCTCTACGGTTGGGTCGCACAACTCACATGCTATTAGTGGCCTAAGATTATGCGCAATGAAATTGAGGTGAACAACTTTGATCACGGATGCATATGTATATAATGTGAGTATTATGAATATTCATAATAACCCAACTGTCCATGACTTCGGGCTCACTGCAGAATTTTCGGAGCAGACTTTAAGTGCACTGCAGAACTTTGAGGCAGACTTCAGATCACTGTGGTACGTTCTGAAATGCGCCCGAAGATTTTACGGTGAAGATTCTGCAGTGTGCCAGAGGCCCGTCCCAAATATTCTGCATTGAGCTAGAAGAAAATTCAAGCTGGGAATGTTTACTCTTCTTAATGTTTTGCCAGATGTGAAGTGAAACACTTTAAAATTTGCCCTAATGCATTGCAAGTTGCATAAAATTAAAGGGTTTTATACTTAAAATCAAGAAATATTTAACTAAGCCATACTTGTTTCACTCACCACACAGTAGCGATAACAAGTGAACAAATTTGAAAGTGAGACAAAATTTGATGCTTTCAATGTCCATTTCTGTACAGTAGTCAGTCTTCTTTCGGATGGAGAGATCAGGTAAGACAGCTAACAAATGACAGAACCTCTGAGACCTCAATGACTTCCCTTCCGGTGGCATTCGTTTGTACACGCTATCAACGCACGCGTGCTCCTTGAATAGGACGTGCTTTTTCCTCTCTAAACGGAAAATACCTATTTTGTGAATTATCCGATTGTGAAGCTTGGTGTCTCAAACCACTGCCAAAGCTTCGTGTTATACATCTGTAGCAGCATCTTCCTCACTCGTTCAGATAAATAATAATATAATAATATAAACAAGACTTGTTTGTCTATCGCTTGATTGCTGTGAAGCCGAGCAGCCAAAAAGTACCAGGTTGAGTCGAAAACTTTTTATTTTCCTTGTCTTATGTTTCATCTGATTTTTTGTTCTATTGGGTAGATACTATTGCTCTCTTATTCATATATAAGCATAAGTAATACTAATCGTTAATATGGTTGTCGAAAGCAGTCTTAAGAAAGCACTAAAACACCATATTCTGCAGTCACAAAGGCTCCAGCTAAAGGAGGCAGTAACCCAGGGACATCAAACCTATCCCACATACCAATTCTAAAGACGCATGCACATTTCGCCTGTTCTGATACTACGTTTACATTGCCACGGTCTAGCACTGAAGTAGCACAGGCAAAACCAAGTGGACATTATACGGCACCTATATCCATTGGAAGTCAGTGTGTGACACCTAAAAAAAACAAAAAAAACGCACAAGGCGTTATAAGATCTCGAAAGCGTCCTCTAGAAAAGTAGACCAATGCCAAGCCTGTAGTGTTGTTGATTCTAAAACTGACTCAGCATTTGAGTGCATTTTTGCGAACGAAGGGTCCACTTCCATTTTAACAGAAGGGGGTCAAAACCATACTGTGTTTTTGTGAAATAAACCACGACCCATGGTTCAAGTACACTTGCCCACTTCGTCGCCTCGGCACAGTCTCAAACAGCATGTATGTGGACAACAGAAACAGCATGCCATCTTTCCGTCTCGACACATTCTTGTGCAGCGACCTGCCTGATAATAGCACACCACCAAAACTTGGTAAAAACCGTAAGAAGCATACTTCAGCCCGACCGACTGGAAATACCAATCTTCATAAACTGAATACTCCCAAGGTTACACCTGAAACAGCAGGATAATATGGAATTGCCATAGCAGCACTTGCATCCGCTAGCAGGCATGATGACTTAACAAAGACCAGTCAGACTCTGGTGAATTCTAAACTAACCGACCCTACAAAGGAGGACAAGAAGCCAAAGGAGAAACATAAGTTTGAGGTCAGTCGATCGGATTCCCTCATCCTGTTTCATGTACCCATGCGCAATGATAGTTTGTTCCAAAAAATGGCTGTGTGATCAAGAACAGTGGTCCGATTTTTGCAATAAACTAGGTCTGAACATCAATTCAGCGAAAATGTGCATGCTGTACAGAGGTGTTCATGCACCTCATGGTAAACCACCTCCATTAGGGGCTACACTGGGTTCTGCCGAAGAGGCTGAAGTAATACTGTTACTAGCTCAAGTATTAGCCATCGACAGGAGTTCCAACATGGAAGTGAGACATGATAGGCCCTGAGCTAATGGGAACATGGCGAGGGAGTCGCCGGAACTGATGCCCTTTACCTCCATGTTCATACACGGCAAAATGCCACCAGTTATAGACCAGTAGTGGTGCTCTCAGTGGTATCAAAAGTAATGGAAAGTGTTATTGATGACCACATCAGGGAGCACCTCGATAGGACTAGTAGACCCCATGAATACCAACACGGTTTCAAGAAAGGTAGATCCTGTGTAACAAACCTACTGTTAGCTTGGGTCGATTGGACACCATGGTGGGATATGAGTGTTCCAGTCCATGTGGTCTTCCCAGACTTTGAGAAGGCATTTGACACAGTTCACCATGACCTTCTCCTACACAAAATAAATCAGGTAGGTATGGGTGAGCCGTTTCTGTCAACCTGAAAAAATGTAAAGCAGTGAAATTACGAACCTGTAGGCTGCAGAATGCAAGTTATACCCTGCACAACGAAAGCTTTTCATGCAAAACGTCGAAGCGTGACTCAGATATAGTTCTAACGGAAAAGATGGACACAAGCGATAATTAAAGGGGGATGTAGCGAGGGCATATGCGGTCACACACTTTCCCCATAGCCAGTAGGATGCACTCACTCCTAAGCTCTTTCTTAGGTCGTACAATCATACGTTAGACGACGCCGTGGAGTGCACCCCACTCCTTAGAAGAGACGCGAACCTTTTGGATAGCGTGCAAAGATGGGGGCAAAAGGAGTGATTAGTCTCCGAAGCAAACCGTATGATGAAAGGCTAAAGAAACTAGGTCTCTTCACACTAAGCTACCGTAGTCTTAAGGGGACTTGACTGCTGCCTACAAGATATTAAATGACCAGAATTACCCAAACAAAGGTGTTCTGCCATTGAGTAGGTATGGGCATCCTCGTGGAAATCCCAGAAGGATAGCTCATCAGGGGACAAGGACTCAGGTGTGCTCCCACTTCTTTCCACTGAGGGTTCGCCATCTCTGGAACTCCTTACCGGCAGATGTAGCCACGGCACCCTCTGTGGACAGCTTTAAACGAAGGCTCGACAACCATGCAGAGACAAAAGGACTGCGTCCAAAGGGCCTATCCCCTTAAAATCCGGTACATCATTAATAGGTCGACATCGAAACTTACTGTTTTACTTCTTCACATTCACTCCTGTCTTACTATCCTGACTACTCCAACTATACGTCTCTTACACTATTATTATTGCTATAGTATATCAATTTCAAATCTCATAAGCTGTTTGTTTTACTTTTTCTTTATTTCTTCTGTCATTTTAGTCTGCAAAATCTATACTAGTTATGTTTTATTGTTATTATCCCTGAAGAATAATTTTTAAAAGGATCAAATCCATTCACTGTAGCAACAAGGTCTTAACACTCAGCGTACTACAAACTACATATAATTAATCTCAGCACCACTCTTTTTGGAGACGACGAAAGCTACGACAAGCAAGTGAAGAAACGAAATACGCAGAAGTTTACTGAAGGCCAGGAATTTTTATGTCACAATCAAGAATCGAGCACAAAGAAATCAAATTGGTTTAAACTAGCTCGTAAAAAGGATATTCGAAACTGGGGAGTTTGTCTTGAAATTAGCAATAGAAAACATATGACGTATGTTTTCGCATATGGCGTCAACCATGCATGAAAACAACGTATGAAACAATTACAATGAAATGAATGAACTGACCTGAAGGTAAAATTTCGAAACGAGAGGAATAAATAATTTAAACGGCAATGGAAACTAAAAGATGTAAATGTAACATTTGTGAACAATGTGCATCAAGAGAAGCTTAGAATAACAGCAGGATAAACGTTAAAACCAATGGTGAAAGACACATCTACATGATAACTTCTATTCCCACGGAAGGTTCTGTTAGCATTTATAGGTGATTCCCATGTACTGATAGCATTCTTTCGCCAATTAGTACTGTTTTTCGCACGAAAATAGACTGCATGATATCCTAACACATGAAGTCTTCATTGAATGGTACTGTAGCGGTAAATAATTCCCCAAAATTATTGACCGCAGCAATCATCACTCAACATTGGATGCTGACCCTCACTGTTTAAGTCGACTTGTTTAGCTGAAGGCTTCCGGTCAAGCATCCAAGCCATTTGGTACTCCGTCGTGTCACGTGCGTGCACGATCACTAGCCAGCTAAGCATTCACTTCAGCCTGCGATTTGGTCCCGAAATATAGATCGTACTTTGGACGACTAAATCTGGTCTTTTGCTTTGCATTTGGTACACACCAAACGAATATTATAGAAGTTGTTGGCATAAGATCTTGCGTCAGTATACTCCGTACAATTCGCGAACGTCGATATCGTCAACCTCTAAAGTACTATGCCGAAAGCTGCAGCTTCTATATGGATTGAACGATTTGTGTAGATGACATTACCCTCCAACTATCTCATCTTGCTAATTATAGCGATATTTTGACACAGTCCACATGAAACACTAATCATTGCAACCGATATGCTAAGAGTGTGTCGCAGTCAGATCACATGACGCGGACACCAACATAACTAGCCGGGAAATGAGAATTCTCATCAATCCAGATAACATATAACATAATTTTATTAAAAATTATTGACAAAAATATTTCCAAGTGAAATTTTAACAGAACGTGATTTATAAGTCCAGCTGCGAATAGCCGTCCAGCATGGCCCACTAATATGGACGAAATTGACCTTCAAGCGTCTAATTCACCCAATGACCTTGAGCATAAGAAATAATTTCAGCCTTCAATCTTCGTTCACTTGTTATCGCTACTGTGTGGTGAGTGAAACAAGTATGGCTTAGTTAAATATTTCTTGATTTTAAGTATAAAACCCTTTAATTTTATGCAACTTGCAATGCATTAGGGCAAATTTTAAAGTGTTTTCGCAGTCAGAAAATGCACCTAGGCAATGTATGCAAAACGTGGACTAAATTGATTATTTTTAGCGGCAAAGGCATGAGCAAAAGGGGTTAAAAGGCTAAATAATTAACACACTTTACCCATAGTGGAATATTTTTCCCTGTTCGCCCATGTTTCAAAAAATTTTATTGTCCCATATTTTCCCAGTTTACCCACGTCACAAACGAAAACAGCCCACTTTTCCTACTTTGCTAAATTTAGAACGTAAAATTGCCCACGTTGTTACCCTATCAGTTGGAGAATTTTTCGGACCTGGGATATGTCGGTGAAAAGTGGGCAGTTTTCCGTTCGAAATTGTCAAAGTAGGAAAAAGTAGACTTTTTTCGAATGTAACATGAGTAAAGTGTGAAAAAGTGGGTATAGTTTACGTTGAAAACGTAGGTAAACTGGGAAAAAGTGGGACAATAAAATTTTTTGGAACATGGGCAGACAGGGAAAAAGTGGCTAATATGGGTAAAGTGTGTTAATTATGTGGCATTTTAACCCCTTTTGCTCATGATTTTGCAGCTCAAAATTACCCACTTAGTCCACGTTTTGACTACATTCAGTACATTCTCTGATTGAGCACATATCCCAGGTTCAAAAAATTCTCCAAATGCTCTCGGTAGGTTTGTTCCCAGCCATAGTTACTTGTTGTTAATTCTTTCTTTTTAGGAAATCCTTTTCGTGATACACAGTGCAAGTTTCTAACCCTTTTAGAATATCTGACTGACTTAACGTTAGTGTTTAAAATCAGAACTCACACCATCATACTGAGTTCATAAGATTTTCACACTGACCTCAGAGTGATGAAGGAATGGCTTGCCTTTCCCATTCTGGTTGACTTCGACACCTTCATCCGTCCCGCTTGTGGTTGAAACTATGCTCTCTAAATAACTGAAGGAAGTAACATCTCTCAAGTTTTTTATGTTGATAATGATTGGTGCTGGTTGTTGTTGTTGTTGCTGTTTGCTGGTTATCTTCATCACCTCCGTCTTCTCTGTGTTCACCCGGAATATTGTCTTCGCCATCTGCCAGTTTGTCGGTTTTCGCCTGTAAATCTTTGAGTTTTTGTGACATTAGAAAAATCATCCCTGAAATCTAAATCTTCTAGATTCTCCTTATCAGTTCAACGTATTCTTGTCTTCTTTCTCCCCACAGTCTGACACATAATCCAGTCCACCACAATTAGGAATATCATCGGTAGTGAGAGTAGGCAGCCTTGTCTTACTCCTGTATTCACTTCAAACACCTCGATGAGTCTTCCGTTGTGGATCACCTGACACGTGGCATTGTCATACCCACTTAGTCGAGTAATATGGACCCAAATGACATTATCTTATGCCCAGCATAGTAATGCAGTTGCTCGCCGCTTCTTTGTGCTTTGCCAGATATATTAAAGAAACATTATACATTGTTTTACTTAAAAATTCAGGATGTCACTCTGAGTGACTACAAAAGCTCAAATAATACAATATCGTTTTTTGAGTCACTACTTCAAATTTCCTTTATACGAGTAAAATTGAACAAACAAAAACAAAGCTGTATATGACCAATTATATGATTAACTGATTGGAATCAGATTCCACTACAATACAGGATTTATTTTCTAAGTTATTATTCGTCTGACTAAATCAATGCACCAATGACCATTGAAATACAACACACTTGATGAAATCCTCGATCAAGGATAAGTGAGAAGAATATAAAAGACTAAAATGCTTCATTACTTATAATTGTTTTTATTCGTTTCTCGGTATCAGCGAAGCATTCCCATTCCAATGTGCTGTCTGCAATCAACTTCATCTTGCTTGACAACTGATCAAAAACTCTCCTTTCCTCTTTATTTTGGTTTCCATATTACCCTTGTATGTAAGCTCAACTAGTCGCTCGCTTCTTATTTACTTTCCACTCGAGGAGCTTCGCGGTGTTTCATTTCACTTGAATATCTCTTTAGAATATGTGTGAACTGTCTCTATTTCCCTCTTGCACATTTATCAGCCGATAGGTTATTGGTTGGTTTGCAACTGGAATTCCATGTTACAGCATATTCTTTTGTGAACAAGTTTACTGTGATATTGATCCAATAATTTATGTCTAGTTCAAGTTTTAATCTGGTGTTTTCAGTATCTATCTAGCGGTTTTGATTATCATTTCTTCTCTTAACAAATTCTTCAATATATGAATGAATATAATACCTAATTAATTCTAATTTTAATTTTATTCCTTTACATTCCGCGTGGAGCATAGGGCTTCAGGCTAGCTAGAGGTTCTAATTTTCGGTAGCAGTGGTGTTTATTTTTATGAGGTGGAGTTACTAACCTCACTCCCAACCTGCCCTCTTTACCGGCCTTGCTACCGCCTAAGTGAGGTTTAGGATTAATTCGGCTGGGGATTGAACCCTGAACCCCATGCTTGGTTGCTTACCTAAGTAATATAATACCATCTAGTTGGTAGTGGATGGAGTGTTTCCTATATGGGACTCATCAGCTGATTAGACCCTCATCCTCACTGAGTGATAGCGTTCACACAGTGATTGAACAAATCAATATTAATAATAATTAGTCAACAGGACAGAGAGAATATTTTTCACCAAGTAATATGATACGAGGATGTCAAATCGAGAATCCGGAAGGCGAGAAACACATTCATCAACCTGAAACCAATCTGAAAATCTTCGTCACTCAGCATCAACAACAAAATTCGGATTTTCAATACAAACGTCAAGTCAGTCAATTCTTCTATACGGATCAGAAACTTGGCAGGTCACAAAGAATATTTCTAACAGGTTGCACACCTTTATCAACAGCTGTCTTCGTTCTATACTGAAGATCAGATGGCCGGAAAGAATCACCAACAAGGAACTATGGGAACGAACAAAACAAGTACCAATCACACAACAAATATGCAGGAGAAAGTGGAGATGGATTGGACACTCGCTGAGGAAGCCACTGGGTGACATCGCGCGTCAGTCCAATGCTCGAGTGGAACCCGAAAGGGAAGCGGCGAGTGGGATGTCCAAGGGTGACATGGAGGAGATCATGTGAAGAGGAGTTGAAACAGTATGGACTAACATGGATGCAAGTGAAAAGTACAGCAGAAGACAGAAGCAAGTGGAGACGTGCAGTTGAAGCCCTATGTTCCACTAGGAACCCAAGGGAACAATAATAATAATATGATACTATTTAATATAATTTTGGAAATGTATATTTTGATTTTACTGTAAAGGGCGTATTATTTCATCAGTGTTTAACCCCACCTCCTTTTTTCTCTCTCTAATTTTACAGGATTTATTTGTCAATAATTAAATACAACTTGAAAGTTCAAAAATACATCAAGTGTCTGAAAAATCACACATCATGCATAAAATTGTTACTGATTATGGTTGTATGAAAAGTCAACGTAAAATTGATCAGTATATTAGTGAACATTCATTACGTCTATCTGAAGCGCAAAAATGGCTATTGCAGGTTAGCATATTTAAACTGAATTTATAATTATAATAATAATAATTATTATTATTGTGATTATATTTTAGAAAACGAAAAGTCACCCTTTTGCATCTCGTTTATCGTCCAGTATAGAAATGCAATTGTTGGCGAATTTATGTTATGCAATTAGTGCTAAGAAAACCCTGGATATCGGTAAGTGTCATGCATCATATACACACAAACATAAACAAACATAAATCAGTCGATATTTTCAGACAGGGTTTTTTCATAAATTTAATGTATTTGAAAAAAAAAAACCCACTAACTAACTAGAATGTAAATACAATAATCTCTGTTTATTATTAATAAGGCTTAAAATTTCACTCACTGCACCATACCGATAATTCTGATCACAACAGCCTTCAGATAACCGGAATAATCTGATCGAACCACTAGTCGTGAAATTGTTAAAAACAATAGAGGTGAGAAGGATTTTCATAAATATTTAGACTGAATTATGAGTGAATGGATGCAAAATTATGCAAACTAGTTAGTATATCTTAACCTTGTCTATAGTTTACTAGCTGGGTAGCTTTCTAGCCCGTTCTAATCCCCAGGTAAAGAGGTAAGGTTGGGCGTATGGCTGGCGATTCTATTCCGGAAAATCAATCCAAACGCTACAGATACTTCAAAACACAGGAGAAATATAAAGGCCAGACGAGATAATGCCAGCCGGTGAAAGCTTTCGCGAAACCAGTCAGCCGATGTGTCTTCTCTCGATGAAAGCAAAAATAAGCATGGGGACATGAGATGTTCGTACAACGTACGAAGTTGGGAAGGCTTGCTAGGTAGCCAAAGAAATGAGAAGATACGGCATGCAAGTGCTAAGAATCTGAGATAGCAGGTGGAATGTATGTGGACTCTGAAAATTGTTAACTGGTGAGTTAATAATCTACTCCTCTCACCCAGGCGACAACCATGGACACACTGAGGGAGTGGCCACCATGACGTCAGCAGCAGCAGTGGGAACCAATTTTATCCAGTATTATGACGGTAAGATTCAACTCAAAATGAAGGAAGGTTACAATTATTCAATGCTACGCACCTACAAACAACGCGGAACAAGACAAGAAGGAAGAGTTTTACAGACAACTACAAACAGTAATGGACAACATCCCAAATGGTGACATCAAAATCCTCATGGGCGATATGAACGCCAAATTGGGACCTGATAATACAGGAAGAGAACTCATCATGGGTCGAGAGGCTGTCGAAGAAATGAATGAGAAAGGAGAATTATTCGCAGGCCTCTGCGCCTTCAATTATTTGGTGTTCGGGGCCAGTGAATGCAATAACAAAGATATACACAAAGTGATATAAATCTTGCCTGATGAACATACTAGAAACCAGACAGACTTCATCTCGTTGCTGCTCAAGGAAGTTTAGGCACAGCCTGCTAAACACAAAGTCAAAAGGGGATCAGATGTGAGCTCAAATCATCATCTGGTTCAATGAACCTTCTAGGTGAAAATGAAAGCCTTCAGAAAAACTGGAGACAGACTGCAATTAGAGTTCAACACTCAGAAACTGAAAGACAAAATTACAAGGGATACCTTCATTACAGGTCAAATCAGAGGAAAGCTGGAGACACTAAGTGGCATCACTGAGGGAAGAACATTGGAAGTCTTTGATGTTGATATTCAAGGAAACGTGTGTAGCCAATTTAGCAAGAAAGAAGAGACAAGACAAGGAATGTCTCTCTACAGAAACCTGGAAACTAACAGAAGGGAGGAGAATGGTGGAAGAGAAGGCGACCTAATACGAAGATGGACAACAGAACGACAAACTGAGTTCAATGTACACCCCACTGAATAAAGAAGTGAAGACGAGTGCTAGCAAAGACAAAAGATAATTCTACAACACATTGGCAACTGAAGTATAACAGGCCTCAGGTAAAAGAGACCTGAGAACATCATATCAGATAACCAGGTCTCTATCGGAGAAAAGATCAATATGGATGAAACCTACCAAAGATGGTGAATGGGACCTAATTACCAAAGAGGACAGACAAAGAAGATGATAGGCTGATCATATTAGATATGTTCACGCCAATGTTAAAAAATCGTTTGGAAGGAAAGAAAGGTACCTACTGACTGGAAGAAAAGTGACCTTATCAAACTATCGATGAAGGGTGACTTACGCCTCTCCAACAACTGGCACGGAATCATGCTCTTGTCTACACCAAGTAAAATACTAAGTAGCGTCATCCTGGAGGGAATAAAAGATGCAGTGGATACAGAACTCCGCCAGCCGGAACAAGGTGGATTCAGAAGAGGCAAATCATGTGCTGATCAAATTGCAACTCCACCCATCATCATTGAACAAAGCACAGAATGGCAGTCAAACCTCAACTTCCTCGACCTCGTAAATGCCTTTGACAGCGTTAACTGAGACGTAATTTGGAAACTACTTCAACACTATGGAATGCAGTGTCCCAAATCTTTATCAACCTCATTCAACATCTGGCTATATGACAATGCCACGTGTCAGGTGATCCACAACGGAAGACTCATCGTGGTGCTTGAAGTGAATACAGGAGTAAGACAAGACTGACTGCCTATTATCACCGATGATATTCCTATTTGTGGTGGACTGGATTATGTGTCAGACTGTGGGTAGCAAGAAGACAGAAATACTCTGGACTGATAAGAAGACTCTAGAAGATCTGGACTTCTCGAACAGTTTATGTTTGATGTCACACAAGCTCGAAGACTTACGGGCGAAAACAAACAAGCTGGCAGAAGAGGCTGGCAGGCAGCGAAGATAGGACTTCATGTGATTATATACAAAACGAAGATGAATGTGATTAACGAAAGACAACAACCAGTACCAATCACTGTCAAGGAAGAAATTAGAAAAAGGCAACTCCCTTCACTTATCTAGGGAGCATTGTTTCAACCACAGGCGTGACGGATGAAGATGTCAAAACCAAGCAGTACTGGAAAGGCAAGCCACTGCTTCTTTAATTCAATTTTGCTTCATTACTCTGAGATCAGTTTGGAAATCTTCTGCAATAACTCAACATGAAGGACTAAGTTCTGATTTTCAACACTAACGTTAAGTCAGTCAGTTCTTCTAAAAGGGTTAGAAACTTGGAGCGTTATAAAAGCATTTCCAGCACGTTACAGACTTTTATCAATAGCTGCCCCCTTCGCTGGCTCCATACTGAAGATCAAAGGGTCAGAAAAGGATTAGCAAAAAGAAATTATTTTGAATAAGCCAACCAACAGCCGGTTGCTCAACAAATATCCCAAAGTAAATGGAGATGGATTGGACACATGCTTAGGTGACTGTCGAATGAAATCGCGCGCCAAACAGACTCCCGAGTGGATTCTGAGTGGAAAACGATGAGTTGGTCATCCGAGGGTAATATGGAGGAGATCGTGTAAGGAGTGGATAGAGACTTCGGACAATCATGGAGTCAGCTAAAGAGTACCGCAAAGAATAGGACAAAACAGAGATGTGCTATTTGAGCCCCATGTTTCGCTTGAAACAGTAATATAGTATAATAATATTAAGTAGTGTCTATATATGTCCAGACCAAGTTCACTTTTAACAGTTTGAAAAAATTTGGGCATTGGGTATATGATATTCATTATAATAAAGGTTTTTGTATTTCCCAATGAATGAAAAACAAAACGATATTGTTTTTACTGACGTTTCGCTATTTAATGCTGCTGCTAATAGCTTTATCAAAGTATTATTAAACCGGAATTTACAAAATCTCAGCATATATATAACAAAGAGTTAAGGGGTGAGAAAATAGACTTAGGTCAAGTTAAAAGGACATATTGAAAGTCAAAATAACAATGAAGATCACTAAACCAAATAACAAAGGTAATAGTACGTCTGTTATGATATCAAAACAAAGTTTACTAACTTGATCATCGTTCGTCAGTCTGGGGTCATTTTTCGTTGTCAAGTTGGTCAATTGGTAAAGATAACAAAACCGAGTGTAGATTGTTGGATTTGATCAGTGTATAAATTATAAAGGCAGTGTGTGTTTACATAGTGAACTTGCATATCACATTCGTGTTGATTTTGTCACTTCATGGGAGGGGAGGGAGGTGTTGTAACCAGGTCAGATTCTGTTTTAGTCCATCATTCCTATTCAGGCAATTTGGATTCCACTTGATATGAAGTGCTTCTGATGATGTGAGACGTTCTTTTTGATTTCTGAAGTTTTTCTGGATTATTTCAATATTGTCAAAATCAATTTTGTGGCCTGATTCTATAGCATGTAGACCTATGGCTGATGATTTTTCAAGTTTTTCCAGTTCAACCGGATTTCTTGGTGGTCGAACGGATGCTCTACGGTGTTCATTTCTTCTGATTTTGATTTCTCGAGATGTTTGTCCGATGTATATCGCATCACATTCCAAGCATTTTATTTTATAGACACAATTAGATAGAAAATCTTTAGGGATTTGGTCTTTTATATGGACAAGGTTGTTTCGTAGTGTGTCTGATGTTTTGAAGAAAACTCTAATGTCGAGCTGATTGAGTACTCTTCTGATATCGTCTGACGTCTCTGCTCTATATGGAATGACGACTGTTGATGTCCATGTTTTCGGAATGCGTTTTCGGCCATACTTAATGTCAGTGTTGATTTTGTTGATGAAGTTCCTTGGGTAGTTGTTTTGCTTGAGAGTTTCAGTAATGTTTGATATTTCTTCTTCTTTTTATTTCTCATCCGTTATCAGAGAGTGTGCTCGTCTAAGAAGACTTGAAACAACTGATATCTTTGCGCTGATGGGGTGTGATGATTTGAAGTCTAAATATTTATTGGAGTGGGTTTTCTTTCTGAATATGTGTGCATCGGTGGTACAGCGGTTAAGACCCTCGCCGACCATGCAAATGGTCCGGGGTTCGATCCCTTGCCGACTCACACCTGATATCAATGGTCGGCCTGCAAAATTGGGCTAACGATATCACATGTTGAAAATTCCATACTTGTACCAAAAGTACTGTGTGGAATCAAGCTATAATCAAAATGTTCTAAAATGTCCGTTTTCCCTTCTCTTAACTAGGCAGTCTAGAAATAGTAGTTCACCGACTTCTGATTCTGCTTCCGAAGTAAACTGGATTCTGGGAGATACACAGTTTACTTTCTCCAGGAATGAATTGTGTAGATCTCGTTTTAGTACTACAAA